ATAAAACAGAATGTTGATGAAAATATGAATGTGAATGTGCTAACAATGTTTTTAAAAAATGCATATCTAGAAGAATATGATTGTTTCAAATAATAATCAATATTTTCAAATATTAACCCGCTAGATTTGCATGAGCTGAAGCTGAACTGTTAAAATGAACCACTTTGTTAATGGGTTTATTAGCTCATCCAAACACATCCTATACACTAAAATAGTAAAAATAATTTAAAATAAAATTAATTAATGACATGACAAAATTACATATTGCCATGCAGAAGAGAGAGACAGAAAAAAAACAAGATTAATTAAGTATTCTTTTGTACAAATTAATAATTTGTTTCCTCATTTTAGAAAAATTTGTGTCTTTCGCACACCTTATTAATTAGTTTCATCATAAAAAAAAAAAATTGTGGCCATGTTTAAATATTTAACTAACTTAAAAAGTTAAATCAAGGCCATGAATTAGTTAGTCATACAAACTGATTCTTATTTCCTGGCCACGTTATTGTTTTTTGCCCTGCACAAAATAATGATGAACTTTAAATGATGAACTTTAAAAGACAAAAACTATGTTGCTTTTTAAATTCCATTTGCTGTTTAACTTTTATAAATACATTAAATAAAGTTATTAAATGTATTAGATGCATTAAATAATGCCTTTAAAAATAATTTTGCAAAAAAATGTCATCTATGATGACTCTAAAAACAACTAAAAATGGTGTTTTGTGCTCAAAATAAAGACAATAAATTAATTTAATGCTCACGACACTATTTCAGAGCATTCAGTAAATGTTCAGTAAAACCAGTTTATGAACAAAACATTTTTTTGTTTGTTGCAGAAATACTGTGCAACTGCTTTGTGAATTTGCCCCTTAATGTTTAAAGCATTAATCAACAGTAAACAGGAATTACCAGCATTAATGTTTAACATATGTAAACAAAAACATCTCTAATCTGCTGCAAGTTAAATGTTAAACAGCTTTGAGAAAATAGGGACCGTTTCATAGCAAAACAAACCGAAATGAGAGCAATCGAGAGAGAATATTAACATCCCATTAAAATCAAATTGTATCTCTTTTCATGCAGTCAGAAACAATGCTGAATTAATGTTTTCCCCCCTTCTTTTCCACAGGCAAGGAGAGTAGACGAGGTGCCAAACGGAGTGATTAAATGATATTGCGTCTCTTTAGTTCTCTTGGCAGATACCTGCCCTCGGGCTTTGATTAGCTCTTTGTCTTACAGCGGAAAATCTACAGCAAACCGAATGGATATGACTGCAAATTTACAGCCACGTTAGAGGGATATAACTCTGTCTTTGTTCGGATGGAAAAGCTGGCTTATTTCCTGTGGTATAACACACAGTCAGGTGAACAGAATGAAGAGGTGCGTGTTTATTCAGGCCTGATACGGGCAAAGAGAAACGGTAATGCGCGAGGTCACGTACATCACCTCTGGGCTTAATTCATGTGACAGACCTTCACAGCCAGATCGTGTGCAACGACTTTGATGAGAAAACATCAAGTCGGTGTGCCAAACCCAAAGGAAAAAAACACAGCGTGATCATGTTCAGCCAGAATGTACTGAAAGTACTACAGAAAGTATATTACGAAATAGTCAGTCATGGTTTAAGCTGTTCTTGACTGATTTGAGAACCTAAAAGTTAGCATATATGAGGAATTGTTCAACCAAAAATAAAATCATTTACTCACCCTCATGTCGTTCGAAAACCTACAGTTTTTCTTTCTTCTGGACAGACATAAAATTAAAAGCAATTGGTTGATAGGAAGATTTTGGGTGATTAATAACTTTAGTAGTTCAAATGTTGCTCAGTTCGTCACACACAAATCATATTGTTTCTTGAATGAAACACACAAGTAATATGGACAACTTCCATAAGGAGTTTTTTTTTCAGCATTTTTCCCCAATTCATATTCACATTCCACAAAACATCTAATTTTGTGTTCCACAGGTAAAAAATTGCAGAATTTGCATTTTTCCTTTCAAATGTGGTGGTCAAAATTATTATAGGATCCATTTAACCAGTATAAAGTATGTTTTGGGAAGCTTAATGCTAGTTTTGGTGGTTATTAACTATTAAAGGGATATTTCACCCTAAAATGAAAATTCTGTCATTAATTATTCACCCTCATGTTATTCCAAACCCGTAAGACCTTCGTTCATCTTCGGAACACAAATTAAGGTATTTTTTATGAAATCCAAGAGCTTTCTGACCCTGCATAGACAGCAATGCAACTGACACTTTCAAGGTCCAGAAAGGTCGTAAGGACATCGTTAGAAAAGTCCATGTGACATCAGTGGTTCAACCGTAATGTTATTAAGCTACGAGAAAATGTTTTGTGCACAAAGAAAACAAAAATAATCATGGTACTTTCGTGAATGCGTGGCCGAGAATGACACGGAAAAGAAGAAATAGTTGAATGAAGTTATTTGTGTTTACGCACAAAAAGTATTCTCGTAGATTCATTACATTAAGATTCAACCACTGATGCCACATGGACTATTTTAATGATGTCCTTACTACCTTTCTGGGCCTTGAATGTGTCAGCTGTGTTGCTGCCTATGGAGGGTCAGAAAGCTCTCAGATTTCATAAAAAATATCTTAATTCATGTTCCGAAGATGAACAAAAGTCTTACAGGTTTGGAACGACATGAGGATGAGTAATTAATCACAGAATTTAAATTTTTGGGTGAATTAACCCTTTAACTACCAGTGGCTTAATCAAGTAACAGAGCAAAAATGCCCATATAAAACCAGTCTATATTCAAATTTAAGCTGGTCTTAACTGGTCTAAGCTGTTTATTTTTCAGCAAAGATGGCAGAAAATCTAAATGAAAAAGTTTTCATGTTACATTATTGACCGTGACATGTACTGTTTCAGGCTTTAGAGACTCAAAACATGTCTTTCTTGTAAAAAACAGAGCAGTAACCAGATATTTTCATTCTTTTAACAGCATTTTATACTGTTTTACAACTACACATCAGAAATCCAAACAAAGATTATGATATCAGAGAATAAAGTCCTCTAAGGTGCAGAGATGCTATGTTTTCCTATCAAGCACATCAGTTGACAGGATGTTATTCTGCTTTTCACAGTTGCTGAGGGTGTAACCATAAGCAAAGACGCTGTTTTTTCTCTGTAATACGCACCATGCCCTGGTGTGAAACCCAAAAAATGACAACAACAACAACAAAAAATCCCCACCTTAATCTCAATGGGCCAAAAACACGAACACTGCATTTGATATTGGAGTTATGCGTTTGAGTGAAAATTGTTTACGAACCACAAAAGGGATTATTCGTGGATTATTCAATTCGGCTAATTCTGTGTTGTGATGGAAAAGTGTTATTAAAACGCTTTGACAGAATCAATGTTATGGTAAAGTGGAGAGGCACTAATGCAGGTTCGGCAAAGTTGACAGCATCTCATCAGCCATTCATAAGTGCTGAAATGCGCTCTGATTCGGAACGGTACGCATAGGAACACACATGTGACCGCACATGAATCTATACCTTATTAAAGAAGCAATATCAAAATCTGCATCACTGCAAAATCCATGAAGACAAGCCTTTTTTATGTGCTTGTACTACTAGATATTTATAGAACTGTACGTTGACCAGTGCAGGTCTTATGTTGTGGGTTTGGACCAGCATACACACCGAAACGAAAGCCTAAACTGATATTTAGGCACATCAGATTCATGCCCATATCAATATAATAGTTGAACTCAAGCTCAAACAAGCTTCCAATCCAATCCAAATCCCAATTGAGTTCCAAAACCCAGCAAGCTGCATTTCAACAGAAATCTAAATTAGCATTATAAACATCACATGGCCAATAAGTGACTTTTAAGTAATCAATCTAGAGCGCACTACATAGGCATAAACTCAAACACACTGGGGAAAAACAAGTGCAGAAATGATTTTCACTTAGAAATTACTAGTAAATTTGACAAACAACTACAAAAAATAGAGAGTAACAAGCTGAATTAAATGTTGAATCTTGAAGTAGAAAAACTAAAATAGCATTTTCTTGTAAAATGTACTCCAAAGTTTTTGTTTTATTTACAACTAAAAAATATATATATTTCTTTACGTTATATACAAACATGCAGGAGCCTCGCAGAGATTAAACTTTACTCTTAAAAATATATGGTACACAAACATATTGGGTGAAATTATTCATTTGAATTTACACTTAAAGATACGTTCACTTAAGATTTTGGCCTAATTTGGTCTAATTTGCACCAAGCTCAGTGAAAAAAATGAATGCAAGATGGTGGATGAAGCAAACTGGAAAAAGAGAGTTTCTATGAGTTTCAAGTAGCTCTATTCTTCTTGTTTTCTAGTAAATTTCTAAAAATGTATATGAATTTACTTGAGAAGTAACACTGCATAAGATTCAATTGTTTTAAGTATAAACAGATAAAAACAATGTGGAAAAAGTTGTCAGTGTATTAAGACAAAAATACACTAAATGAAAAGTGTCTTCATATTTTTTCCAGTAATTTTTACTGGAAAAAAAGACTTCAAGAATGCTCACTAGGTTTTGGAACAGAGCATGTGTTTACTGTCAGATCCACAGTATGGCTCTACTCGATCCATAAAATAAAACACAAAAAGCACAAAACTGTGAGTGCCACATCTTTCCCAGCAGGCCTCATGCTCATGGTCTCCTAACACGTTTTCTCTCCCTGCTGAGTGACACCAGACTACAAATACCTCAGGGTACCAAACATCATCTGGCATAATAATCAACAACCATAGACAGAAAAAAAATCCACACAAACAAACAGTTCATACAAAGACGTTGCCATGTTTTAGGGCATGTATAATGCTAACTAACATTATTTGTAGGCATGGTACATGATGTAATAAGAAATAAGACCCTAAAAAGCATTTGCGGTGACTGCTGTAGCTCACAGCCGACAGTGTCTCTGCATGGTGACTGTGTGCCGTAGGTGTTGAATGTTGGATTTACCTGCCCACAGGCGAGCCCCATTCCCCTCTCCCCCATTCCATGAGGACATGATAGATTCAGCTCCAGGGCATCAGCGCCAGACTCCTGTGAGATGGATGCAGAAGCCTCCGATTATTTACAAATAAATTCAATGCATTTTTCAGTTTTGAATCACAATCAAGTTGTGGACGTTCATATGCAACCCTCACACATGCCACATACACATACAATATATGGGGGAAAAAAATCACTAAAAATGAATTGCATCCACTTTGAGCAATGCATACACTGCCTGCATTGTTTTTTTGTTTTGTTTTTTGTACATGGTTCACTAAAAATTCATGCAAATTAGACAACATACCCCCAAAATAGAATACAACAGACTAGCATGTTCTTGTGTACTTTACTGAATCTGTATCATTGTGACATGAATTGGACATATGTTTACTTATGGTGCACATTTCGATCATTTGATAATCACTTGATGAATTATTGCTCTCGTGATCAATAGCAAATGAACCCAAACTTGTCTTTTAAATAATTAATTGCAATAAAAATGCATTGTCGAAAGACATATATATGATTAGTTACAATTAGTGATTTTGTAAATTAGAATCTATAATAGGGCAAATTCAGATAAAAATTCAGAATAAAATGTGTTTAATTATGCATGGTGCAGCACTATATTAGCAAACTGGGTTGCTGATGGATTGTGAATGGGAAGCAGGTCTTTGCGCTGAAATACAGCAAAAATTGTTTAGTGAATTTACCCCCAGTCTAAGAAAAATAATAATAAAAGTTTAAATTAGAATCAAAGACAGCCTTTTAAGAGCTAATTTCAACAACAACAATAATAATCTAAATAAATAAATAATTCTGTCATAATTTTTTTCACCCAAACATTTATGACTTTTTTTAATGTTTTAACTTTTTTTCTTTAATCCACTTAAAGTCAATGTGGTTTAATAGGGTTATTTTGGACCCCATTAACTTTTACTGCATGGACAAAAACAGTTTTTCAAAATATCCCCTATGGTGATCCTCAGAAAAAATAAAGTCATGCAGGTTTGAAATGACATGAAAGTGAGTAAATGATGACAACATTTTAATTTTCATGGCTCTTTTTTAGAAAATGATCTACTGACCCTAAAGTATCTACTATAAGTATAGTAGGCTTTGTTGTGTTCAAGGATGTCATACCAAACTTGTAGAAACTATAATGAATCATCAAGAAACAACTCACGAAACAAAAAACAAACAAACAAAACAATTCTTCAATGCACTTCAGGTTTAGCAAAGAATGCTTTTCTTTTAAATAACTTTTCTTTTCTTTTTACATGTACAGAGTATAACTAATCATATATACAGTCTTTCTGCATTGTACTTTCAAATAATCTTTCCATGCAATCTAAGTCTATTCACCATGCAATGGCAAAATGAAACACAAAAGACACACGCACAAGCTAATAAAGAATATAACTAAAAACAAACAATTTTATTGTTTATCAGACTCAAGCAGATGCAAACAATGAGCGAAGCAAATCAACACTGACTGAGACATCGGCTCTAAAATAGATGAGAGCGGTGATAAGTGTTCCACACGGATGCATGAGAGACGAGCGAGCGGCACGCAGACCGGGGTGGGGTGCGTAGCCGAGCCGAGTTTGACAGGCAATTACAGATCCACGGGGGCTTTAAACCACATCACATGGGGGATTTAAACAATTACAAAAAGCTCTACAAACCTGCCACAGTGACTCCATCTGTAGATTTATGATTTTCTGCAGACTGACAGCCATTAAAGGGGGAAAAGAATATTAAGCATTTTAGCCTTACAAAGTGCAGAGGACCATAAGGTGGGCTGATGCTATTTATCACTGTCAGCCGGGGGAACGGGACAAACCTGCCGCTCTTACAGGATTAGGCCCCAGATTTCATGGTCAATTAGGACCAAATACAGGTACAAAATGGATACAATGTGCCGTGATCCCAAAGCCAATTATCAATAATGTTTAATTTCACCCAGTTTCTTTTAAGCCCTTTATAGAATGAGGAAAGGGAGGAGGAGGAGGACAAGGGGGCAGGCTTTCCATCTTGCCCTCCCGTCCAACAAAAGGGGTGACACGCACGCAGTGAATTAAGTGCTATCATCTCTCATCACGGTAAGCTGCTTTCAGAGAGAGAGGCTAGCAAGACGACTGTTTGATATTGCAGGCTTAGTACTGAGAGAAGGGATAGATTTAAAATAAGCCAAAGGAAGCAAAAACAACAACAACAACAAAACCGCCAAGATCAGTTTGCCAGGACACTGAGATCTCTCTTTTCTAGCTGTATGAATTGTGAAATACAAGTGTCTGTCTATGGAGAAATAAAGCTTTTGCATTCATAACTAGGAAGAAAAGTCGCAGCCACAACACCAGGGTGTCTGGATGGTTGCCAATGCATTGCTATGTGGTTGCTAAGGTGTTCAAAAGTGTCCACAACCGAGTCTCTATGATATTTTGGTCTCTAGATTCATGTAAGGAAGGAGCATTTGAAGAATTTCATTCAGAACCTGTTGCATTTTCTTTCTGAGATTTGATTTCTTTCTGAGTTTTGGTTTTGGACTCAACATAACAAAGAACCAACCAATTTCCCAAAAATCTTCCTCTCTTCCTTTGAGCATATCTTTAGGACTGTTCAGTCAATATTTTTTTTCTAGGCATAGGCTTGATACCTGCTGAAACTGATGATTAGAAATAATGGTAATTAGCATAAATAAATTGAAACTGCTTCTGTACATCTATCTTAAAATTTGAAAATGCCACTATAAGCATATTCTTGTAACATGCTGACCAATAAGTGAGTGAGTGAGTGAGTGATGTGACATGTGGTTACCCATACTAGGAATTAGTGCTCTGCATTTAACCCATCCTAAGTGCACACACACAGCAGTGAACACACACACACACCGTGAACACACACCCGGAGCAGTGGGCAGCCATTTATGCTGCGGCACTGGGGAGCAGTTGGGGGTTCGGTGCCTTGCTCAAGGGCACCTCAGTCGTGGTATTGAAGGTGGAAGAGAGCGCTGTACATTCTCTCCCCCCACCTACAATTCCTGCCGGACCGGAGACTCAAACTCGCAACCTTTGGGTTACGAGTCCGACTCTCTAACCATTAGGCCACGATTTCCCCTAAGGGATCTTTTAGTAATACATTTAGGTGGATTTTGAATATTTTTCCCCTGTATATTAACATTCTCATTTAGTTTTTTACCTTAAAAAAATCAAACCAAGGAGAAATGTCAGCATCGTAACAGTTTAGTTTTTTTGTTATAGGAACACAGCAAACAAACTACAGATATAGAAACTTCTCATCATATGCAGCACCAGATTTGTTCAAAACCTTTTATGCCAAGTATTAGAAATAGTAACAGTGATGGTATCTTCAGTAAACACCACTAACTGTACACTGCAATCCACTTAAAGTACTCATAAAGCTTTTGATTACCATTAAAGTAATCATAAAGAACCAAATTATATATCAAAAAACCATCTTAACTTTTATCACCAACCTCAATTTTAAGGGCATGTTCAACAAAAGAAAAAGATCTGGATCAAACCTGACACTGTCTTTGATGAGGATTATCAACTCTAAAGCTGATAAGGACAACATTACCTATCGCTGTCATACTCCCTGGATCAGTATGGCTAGTTTGACCTCAGGGGGCATTAGAGAGGATGAGAAGTGGAAGACAAGAAAAGTATCTGGTGAAAAAATATGCACTCAAAAGGCGAGAGGAATGGCAACAAAAGACACTATAGACATCCAGTCTTGTCTTACTAAAATCACTTATTACTAACCTTAGCAAACTGACTAACATAGAACGATAATTTATAGACATCCGACCAGGATCGGTTGAATCTGCTTCCTGGTCTTTCACAGGATGTCGTCATAGAACAACACCCGACTAAAAGCACTATAAGCAACTTTTTAGGGATACCACACATAAAATGTCCCAACTATCTGACAGACATCGCTGAAATAGGTGTCCTGAGAAATCAAATATCTCTCTGTGACACCCCTAGGCACTATATAAAAAAAAGCCAGCGATGCTGTGGAGGAAGCTAGCTAGCTAGCTGAAATTGTACAGAAACGGTCTCCTAAGAGCAGGGTTGTGCACCATTTAGAACCGAATTGGGAATGTGTGTATGGAATAAAATGAAATTAAAAAGAAGACAAAGACATATTTTTGTAATTGGAAATTGCCCAGACAAACTTTGAATGTTGGCATGAAAAAGCCTCATTTGAAAGCTTTCTGAAAAAAAAAAAATAATAATAATAATTTGAAATTTGAAGGTGTATAAGCCTTACAGTTAGAACACAGACAGACAGACAGACAGACAGACAGACAGATAGATGGATAGATAGACAGACAGACAGACAGACAGACAGACAGATAGATAGATAGATAGATAGATAGATAGATAGATAGACAGACAGACAGACAGACAGACAAATAGACAGACAGACAAATAGATAGACAGACAGACAGACAAATAGATAGACAGGCAGACAGACAGACAGACAGACAGATAGACAGACAGACAGACAGACAGACAGGCAGACAGACAGACAGACAGACAGACAGACAGACAGACAGACAGACAGATAGATAGATAGATAGATAGATAGATACTGCTCTTATCAACGGTTTATTAGTTTATATCAACCTCAAATTTTGAGCGAGCGAGACACACACAGAGGTGCAGCCTGGGAATCTGGCATTTGAGTGACAGCAATGAGGCTTTTATTAGTTTAAATTCACTTATTCACAGATCCTGTAGCTATGCCACTCACGGACAACCGCACATCGCGCACTTATTATTGGGCCTGCTTTTAGCCATTTATCTGCAATCCACTGTTCCTTTTTCTTCTGCCAACTTTCAATTGGATAAAATAGGAACAGCTCACAGAGAGACTTTGACATTTATGAATTATAGCCTCAGGCACATCGTTATGATGTAATATTTCTCTCAAAGGCAGCGATTTTATGGAGGGGAAAGTAGCTGAGGAGAGGTGGTGGCTGCAAGTAGAATGGTTTACTTCAGACTGACACTTCTGTGAGGGGAAAAGAGAGAGAGAGTCTGGATGATACAGAGAGAGAGAGAAAGAGAGAGAGAGAGATGCGCGTGCAAGGGATGGAAAGAAAGCATGAAAAAAAAACTTTTAAGTAGTATCCTTAGGCGAGGAACAGTGTTAAGTGTTCCCTTAGATTTCAAAGTGGGAATGAATGGTTGATTCTCTTTGAAAACGGAGTTGCCATGGCAACTGAGCCTTTATTTCATATTTGCTGGCACAGGTAGCTAAACAGCAGACACGAGGAAGACGAGGCATTCAGACCACAGAGGAGTTCGCAGACCACTAAAACCCACGGCGCCAGACGACGTCCAAAGACAAACGGTCTTTCACCGCTTCACCCTGATCGTCCGTATCTCCCGCTCATCCTTTTCTCATTTCATCTCTGGCAACAGATCAATGCTTTCACTTTCATCCAGTATAGGCAAAAGAGCAAGACCTTCAAATCAATCCTGTGCTCATTTTGTTGGGGATTTTTTTCAAGCTTAAAGCATGAAGTGAAGTGTGGTGTGACACGGCAGCTGTACCCTGAAGCGATGTTCTCACCGTACTTTACATCATCGGCTTGCCTTATGAATACACAATATGCAAAATGTACCTGGGCTCCGGTGACGGGGGATGTCAGGCGAATACATAATGACAGTGATATTGAGGGGGGTGGGGAGGCAGGAAATACCAGATGTCCATCTTTGCCGTTAGTAAAAGAGGGTTTTGGGTGGGTTTGACAGGCCGGTTTAATGAGGTGAGAGAGAGGATAGGGCGACGCGTCGATGTAATCGATAGCAGAATTAACACATTGACATACAGACTGTTTACTTTCAGCCATTTTCTCTGCACAATTAAGCGCCTGAGATCTGCAAGTCAACTATGATTAATCCCGGGGTCACTCCACTGTCTCTCTCTATTTCCACTTAAAGTATCAAGGCCTGTGTTTATAACTCCAAATGTATGTGTATAAGTGGCGTGTAGACATATCTGAGCGCTTCACTTCTACACAAAATGTTTGTGTGCATGTGTATAGTTAGGGTTATGCATAATTCAGAATCAAAGAATTGTCTCCCTTCCAATTTATGAGTGTGAATTTGAATTAAATTGTGCTACCACAATTCAAATTCAGTTCAAATTCAGAAACTGAATTGGAACTGAAAAGGCATTCTTAATTTAATTCTGAACTGTGCACAATCCTTTGTATGGTATCCTTCCTAGAGTTGGGGCTAATTGCCGTTGATACTGTTTTGGGGTAGATGCCATTTAAAGTTAAAGCCATTTTTGGCTTGATGCCATTGTGGAGTTGGTGCTGTTTGAGGGTGATGTCAATTGAGGACGATTCTGTTTTTGGGTTGAGGCCATTTGCAGATGACATTTTGGGGTTGATTCTGTTGATACCTTTTGAGGATTATGCCTCTTTGGGGTTAATGTCAACTGAGCTCAATGCCTTCTTGGAGCTGAGGCTGCTTGCAGTTGATGGAGCTTGGGCTTGATGCCATTTTGGTTCATGTCTTTTTGGAGTTGAAGCTGTCTGAGAGCATTTTGGGGTTTATGGTGCTTGAGCTTGATGCAGTTTTGGAGTTGGTGCCTTCTTGGTAGGGCTGGGAAAATAAATCGATGCATTGTGATTGAAGAAATGATTCTGCATCGATTCTGGGATTTTCCAAATGCATCGCGATTCTCTCTCGAATCGATTCTGAGCTTAGTTTTTAACGGCAGATGGCACTGCATGCTTTAGAAACAGCTATATTCTGCTTGCTTCCAATTTTTTACACACACCTGAAACTAAAATAATCATTCATAAAGTTCGAAAAGCTTGAAGCGAATTACAAGGGTGTTCACAGTAGAATGTGTTTATATTAATCTTGCGTCATAAAAGCATTCTGAGCCGAGGTGCAATTACTTGACTTAGCCGAACGCACAAACTCTCTTCAGAGCTCTCATTTGTGAGCATTTGAGTGTGCGGGTTAAAAACTTGATTAAAATTAAAAACTAAGCTCAGAATCGATTTCAAGAGAGAATTGCGATGCATTCAGAAAATCTCAGAATCGATCCACGAATCGCAATGCATCGATTTATCATCGCAGCCCTACTTCTTGGAGTTGATGCTGTTTGCAGATCAAGGTTGGTGTTGTTTGAAGCTGATAACATTTTAGGGCTGATGTCTTTTTGGAAGTGACGCCGTCCGTATATTGATGCTGTTTGGGGCAGATGCCAATTGAAGTTTATGCCTTTTAGGGTTGAGGCCATCTGTAGCTGATAACATTTTGTGGTTGATGTCTTTTTGGAGGTGTGGCCTTTTGCAGTCAATGCTGTTTTGGGGTTGAAGCCAGTTTTAAGTTGATGCTTTTTTGGGGTTGAGTCCTGCAGTTGATGGCATTTTGGAATTGATGACGATTTGAGGTTGATATCAGTTGATGTTCATGCCATTTGAGGCTGTTTACAATTGATGCCTATTGAAGCTTTTGATTGTTGTTTGCGTTTCAGGGTTGATGGCGATTGTAGTCGCCTTTTTGGGGGGGTTGAAGCCATCTGCTGTTAAAAGCATTTTGGGGTTGATGCTGCTTAGTTTCACTGCAACATCCTGGGATCTGGACAACTCCATTCTCACAGATGGACCAGCCTGATGATGGCTGGTTTGGGAAGTCCTCTCATTTTCTCTCTTCCATCCTTCCTTCCCCCTCTCCATCTCTCCTCCCATCTCATCCAACCATCAGCGGCTCACTCCTTGGCATCCTCTGTCTCATCCCTCTCAGCTTCTTGGCAACATCAGATTAGTTGCTTCCGAAGAGCATTTCCCGTAAATGTAGCCTACTTTAGATCCAGGATTAGCTGCCAGTGATTCAATAAAGGGCTTTTTTTTTGGACAACAGTAAATGTTGGTTTTGCAGTTTGGTACAGGACAGTATGCAATGGCGTGGGTACACATGCAGTGTTAACAAAAGAGCCAAATTATCCCTAAGGGAAGAGGTTATTATTTCACAACTGTGTGTGTTCACAAATTAGCATTACAAAGACTCACCTCTGCCATTTTGGCAAGCTCGGTCCAATCAGCTTTGTTGTAGCTGCACATTATGCTGGATATGACAATCTATGGGGGAGAGAAGAATGAGAGAGAGAGAGAGATTTCAGCATGGACAGAATTCAAGAACAGGTTTTCTTTGTCTCACCTTGTGGCCTTTAACAGAGGCCCGTTTCATTGTGTACAAAAGGTTTTCCCATCAAGGTCCCATTTCAGCACATTATAAAATGGATCTTAAGGCCATTATCTTGTCTTTAAAAAGCAGCTGCCGCCTTCTCCTCAACCCTCAATGTCACAAAATCAATATTTATAATTCACAAGACCAGGACAAATCCACTGTTGCGCCGCTTTTCGGGAAAAAGAAAAAATTTTCAGAGCAAAAAGGACCCGAACACCACATGAGGGTTAAAACAGTATCAAGCCCCAGAGCAGGGTGTTAGATAAGAGCATTTGCTGGATTAGCCTGCACCGTTTGTTGTTTCTTTTTTCCTTCGGACACACAATAAGCCAGTCATAAAACAGGTTACGGAAGGTCTGCTTCTCAAAAACAACTCCTGGTTTTCAGTAATCACGGACATAAAAAGCTTTTGAAACCGTACCGAGCGTACCATAGCACCAATTCTCCAGAGATGGACTTTCTGCCCACACTTGCGAGCGGAAAGAGTAGCTACCAGGTCAACATTTCAGCGCACTGTGTCCCTCGTCGTGATATTTCTCCAGGAAAAATCTAACCGCGTTAACTGCATATGTGGCCAACCTCCATTATGTGCCTAATAGCTGCAGAGATGTGGAGAAAAACCCTGCAATGAAGGCCAGCCTATCTTGTGTTCCTTGGTCCAACGATGCGATTACATCTAAACTCTTGTCTCATCAGATGTCCATGACTTACACTCGCCACTGATGAGGTGGAGGTGGGCGGCACGGGGGACGGCGAAGATTGGTGCTAACAACAGGAGAACAGGAGTCCGGGGAGACTCGGAGAAAACTGATTTCATGGGAGGATATTAAACTTGGAGGCTGTGTTGTCCCCCCCGGGGACAAATTTCCGCTAGATATAAATCTCTCGGGCATTACGCTTTCCCAAAAGCAGCAGGCAGTTAGGTGCTAAGCTTAGCCCACCTACACGAGAGCAGAAAATATTGCCAAGTTTTAGGGGGCAAATAAAGTTAAGCACTCTGACATTTACCGCCGAGATTTACAGTACAACACTGACATATAAGTGATATTTGATACACCCTGAAATAGTGTTTGGTAATATTACCATAAACCTCAGGCCATCGGCGAGCAACAGCGGGGTTCCTAAAGAAGATGAAGAGATCAACGCAGCAGGCTTCATTTCGGGTATTATACGCAACGCCGGTATTCTGTTTTGATTTGGGATTGACCTTTGCCCGCTTTAACGTCACGTTATTGCACAACGGCCCTTGAGAAGCTGGAGAGGGATCTAGTTTTAAGTTTATTAACACCAATCCAGCCTGAGCCCCCCTGTCGGAGTGTCACATTAACCGGTGCCGAGGCTGCGGGGTTCGAGGAAGATCGGGGATTACCTGGTTATAAGCTCAATAACCTCCCTCCGGGCGAGCGCCTCCGAACCCACCTTACACTCTAACAATGTGTCTCCATGGAGATGAGTCACCTGGAGGCCATATGAGAACATGTGGAGCGATGATTCCCACCGATTCTCTAATGCAGTGCTGTGACCATTTCCTAATAATGGGAAAAAATGGAAGCGCTGATAACGGCAAACCACAATTTGTCCAGTTCGGAGCCACAACAGCCAGAGTAGCATCCTGATGAGGTTTCTTTTTCAGGAACGGTAAAGAGAGCATTTTAGCCCAGCGGGTGTACATGTGAAGGATTGCTAGCTATGAATTGCACGGGAACCAAAGCAACCAGAAAGTTCGCCAGCTTGACCTCTCCCTCTCACACTGACAAATTGAATAACACAAACTATAATCGCACTAACAACACGCTCAGAGTCTTCTAAAGCATTCGTTGGTATGACAATAGGTACTTAAAAGGAACATAAAAAACATGCATTCGATCTTTTGTTCGATGGAAGGTTTTAAGACAAAATTTGAGTGTTTTTATTTTTTAAAAACTCTTTTTATATGGTTTGAAATTCAATCAGATTTTTACATCAGTTGTGTTGTGACAGGAAGACTTTATTAAAATACTCAATATGCCAGTTTGTTTTTTTCTTTTTTACACTCATATTACCTTCATATTTGGATACTGCTCTCATGAATAAACAGTCAATAGCAAAACATCTATTATCTATCTACAGTCTCTGATATGGAAACTAGCTTTTTAGTATCTAAGTATTTAAATGGGTATATATAGATAAATATGTCTAAGATTAAATTCGCATAAGCAGATATTAAAATTTGTACAGTCTTTCTTTTCCAGGAAACTAGCAAAAATACCCTACACTCATGGCATACAAATATGTCAGCTCAACTTTCTGTTTGAACAGGAAATACGCTCATCAAGCAATTTCTTAGGGTGCTACGGCAGCAAAGCATATCTCAACTCAGTCGGGGCCCTTAAAAGAAGCTTCTCTCTTTTTCTCTCTCTACTCTCTCTTCACCTTGTTTCAGAAAGAAGCGATACATCTCTGCTGCTTTCATCCTCAGTACAAAAGCCGCCCCAGTGAATGCTGGGCATCACTTCCATTAGTCCTGCCCGTGATTGCCATCAGAATGTCCTGCAGAAATCAATTAATCCTTTGATATTTCTTGAGCACAAAAAGAAACCCAGATACAAGAATCTTAGAAGTGAACAAATGAGTTGTCATTTTGTAATTTCAGCAAGCATATGCTGCTCCTGCTGTACCGATACGATGGCTGAATTAAAAAAAATGTACTTATGGATGGAGCTAGCTCACATCATAAATATTTGGATTTCATTAACAAACATGAGGATCACATTACTATGAATAATAAATGGAACAATGAGAAATGAATATTGAAATCATATTCAAATTTTATGACTTCAGAGCCAAACCACTGAGGAAAAATAGAAAATAATGCGATTAATCTTTTGACAGCACTAATATATATATATACAGTATATATATATAAGGCATTAATGTTTGCCTACAAAACCACCACTGGCTCTGCACCCTGAGTTATGTGCTCTGAGTTATGTACTCAGAAGCCCTCTAGAAGCTTGCGTTCTGCAAGTGAACAACACTATGAATAATAAATGGAACAATGAGAAATGAATATTGAAATCATATTCAAATTTTATGACTTCAGAGCCAAACCACTGAGGAAAAATAGAAAATAACTAGCTACCACAGAGAGTCCCATGCGGATTTTACCAAGACCTTCTCCCATACATTGTGCAGAAGAGATTACAAATAACAGTTTTCGCTTCTCAACATGTTCATGTGCATATCTACATTCATTAATGTAGAAATAAAACAGCAGCTGCTCTGGTAAAAATAATTTAATTCAAGCTGAATGTTCTAATATTCTTACACCTTGTCCAACTAGCAATGGATCCATAAAAATCACACCACTAACTAGCAGGGACTGTCAACACGGTGACACATCATGATATTTTGACGTGTCACGCTAGGTAGCCCCGCTGTGAATCTCACTGGTCCATTTTCTCAATACAATGTTCCACAAAGTGCTTGTGTCCAACTTACATTGTCAGGAAAGTCAGCTTTGAGTTCCGTCACACTCTGGCACCAATAGGCAGCCGTCTTCTCGCTGATCAGCTCAATGTTCAGGAAGGGGTCCGGAAGTGGTTCCACGCACAATACGTGGAGACACATTGGTGACCAAATCCTGCATGAAGAAAAAAAAGAGATTTGGATTTAAGCAGTTCAGATCAAAGACTCCTTCAGAGGTACGTGACCTCGCGGCACCTCTATTAGCGACTAATAATTAGCGTACTAAGGGAAAAGACCTACACCTACAACTTCGCCTCGCTCCGACTATCCCAACAGACTCAACTGCAATAAAATATGCTCCGCGGCTATAATTTCTGTGTAGAACAACATAAAGAAGACAATTACGGCCATATTCTACAGAAATTCATGACACACATTCAATAGCGTTATTTCTCCTTCCCTCTCCCATGGGGCTTTGAAGTGGAGCTAAATTCATATTTAATCATACACGTTTGAAACTGTGCTGAGCAGTAGGGAAAATGAAGTCTACTTGAACCACAAAAAAGGGTTTTTACATTACAAAATAAAGTCATTCATCCATCAGTTCACACTAATATCTTCCCTTCCTCACACTTTCCCAGACTACATTTTATACATGTAGCAGAGGCTTGTCTTCTCTCAAAAGTGCCAGCATGCCCACGAGCCTTGATAGATGTTCTCTGTACTACATTAAGCTGGAGTTGAAAATTCATCTCTTGGCATTAGAGTCCCAAAGGATTCCCTGCCAAACTGCTATAATATTCATCACTGATTGGATGTATAGAGTACAGGTCATCCTGGCCGGACAGTAATCAGTCCACGCGGTAAATTAGAAGCCAGGCTAATGAAGCTGGCAGAGTTGCGAGGATCGTGGCACCCGGTGAACCACTATTGGCTAATGGCTTTGGCCCTCGATATGAGGTTCAACCAAGCCAATGAATTGATGCTCTCACCGATGTAGACGCATCTTCTGGGGATTGAGCCAAGCAATCTGTTGTGTCTCATTTCAAACCTGTGTAAATGACAAACTGAGATTATATTTACATGTTTATTGCGGCGATGCAGAATATGAACCATTTTTGGTTCCCCAAAGAACCTTTCAGTCAGCAGTTCTTGTGAAGAACATGAAAAAAAAAACTTTTTTCCACTGTAGACAACCTTTATTCAGTGAAAATATTATTTCCTAAAAATAAAGGTTCTTTATTGGCATTGATGGTTCCATAAAGAACATTTAACTTCCATAGAACATTTCCATTCCACAAAAGGTTCTTTGGATTATAAAAATGTCTTAGAAAAAATGATTCTTTTAGCAACTGTTCACTGAAAAGTTCTTTGAGGAACCTAAAATGGTTCTTCTATTGAATCACAGTAAAAAAAAAATTTTAGGACCTTCATTTTTAAAAGTGTTCCATGGAAGAAAACCATACATTGTTAAAAATAAATGTTCTTCATTGGCATGTGTGGTCTCATGAATAACCTTTATTTTTAAGAGTGTATGATTTCTGAGAGTTAACGATATTCTGGTCTCAGGACCCTGTCTAATGTAGAAAAGTAATAGTGCACCTTCTCCACAAGCCGCATGATTTGAGGTATCATTCATGTCTTTAGCACAAACGGTGTGTGGGACCAGATATGCGCTGACGTTTAATACTGAAGGTTAGGGGTTTGTTCTAATCCTTAGCAAGCATCATTAATTAAAGACAAAGAGGGACTCGTTTTAATCCAATGTGTTGGAAAACCGCGGCGCTAAGAGGCTAAAGGGTTAAGAAATTACATTTCGTGTTTCGATTCTCTTGCTGTGAAAATTGAACCGATAAACTCGAACAGAACAAACAAAAGGGAGTGACAGCTTAATCCTTTGAACTCTGATAAACCATCCATCATAATTTAACAGTGTGAGAGGACGATTTGCATATCCTAATTAGAACCTACGCCTTTACAGAACAATTACAATAATGGCACGTAAACTTCATTTTACAACATTTGAGCACTTTTCAATCCACGGAGACAGGAAACTTTCATTGAAAATGTATCTAATTAGCATAAATTTGATTTAGAAGTTAGGCTCCAAATGTGTGGTTTGTTTTTGTATTATTCATTACGCATTTTTAATTCATTTTAATTAATTGTTACATAAGTGTATTTATTTCTCGTGCTTGCAAGTAATTAAATCATTATTGCTATTGCCCATAGTCATGCTTAGGTATTTTAACAAACTTCCAACTTTAAGTATTAAACATGTAGCTTGTGCTGTGGACATAAATTACACCTCAAATCATGCAGTTTGTTGAGAAAAGGTGTGAACAGACTTCTGATTTTTTGGCAGACAATAAAACAGAACAAAAAAAAAAAAAAACAGAACAACAACAAAAAAAAAAACACATGACATGAGCCATATCTAGAGATGAAAATAGTACAGAGGCCATGACAAGCAAAGCTCTAGTTCACTAGAAACCATCTAGAAATGCACTAAAACACTTGTAAGCCCCTAGATACGAGATATCAATGCCCTGGTAACTACACATGACACTCCAGCTTCATGATAGTGAGTTTACCTAAAAATAAAATAAAATAAAATAAAATAAAATTGTATTACTTCAACCAATAAAAAAATAAACAAACAAAAACATTATTATTTTCATTATAATTTACATTTCTATACTACTACTACTAGTAGTAGTACACATACAGATGACTTCAAAGCTAACATGCATACACTGACTAAAAGCCACAGCACTTAAATTTCTGATTTCAGTTCATCATTGATAACAAGACGAGTTTCAGTTCGGACCACAGATCGACAGTTCCAATCTGCTAGCAGATATTTTCTTCAGGTACATTCAAACATTCAAGTGTGTGGTTCTGCGATTCAGTGTGTGAGTTCTGTCTGACGAGTGACATTTTCATACATGGCTTGTGGTTGAAGATGAAGACGTTACCTCTTCTTTAATGAAAGTGTTGCGGCCCTCCAGTGAAGACTCTGTTGGGAATTCAGACAACCATCCCATGAGCTCCAGGCCAATCTGTAAGTCTATATTTAATGAAGCCGTGACCAGGGAACATTTGGCTGCCGGCGCTTTGGATTATCAGGCGAGGGTGGAACAAGACGTTTAATATTAAGCAACTAGAAACCATGAAAATTACCCAAAGACAGAGGTCTGGCATGCTGAAACAGGTGCCGCACACAGTGACGGGAGATAAGACACGCACGCATACACACGCTCGCTTTCCCATTCTCTGCTTCCCAGCATGCATCTCAATGCAAATTGGATTCCCAAAGATGAGCCCCGATGGACATAAGAAGTAAATTCATTCCTCTACACAGACTGTAGTGTTAATATGCATGACTGCCACCAGCCAGCGGAAGACAGGATAAAACCTGCCCCGGGATGGACATGTAGTATGGGTTTCTGTTTCAATCTACAGTGGGGCCCAAATGTCTGAGAACACATTATAAATCTAGGATTTCTTCTCTTTTTTTTCCCCAGATGTTTTGAACAAAATTGAAATCACAAAACTAAGGAGTAAATATTGCTCAAATTAGAATTCTACTAGTTAGTCTTTTACGTGCAATTACAATGAATGAATGGAGACTGTGGCTTTCAAGCTCCAAAAAAAGGACTGAAAATCATCATAAAATGTCATATATATGGTCCACTTTCATTCCTTTAGAATGGTTTTGTGAACTGGATTAACTGATTTACTTAAAAGATCTGATTTGAATCAGTCAAACAGTATCGTTCACACCTGTTTTGTAAACTGGATCAACTTATTTAAAAGATCTGAATGAAAAGAACCAAATCAGTTCAATATAATGCAGGAATCATTCAGACTCTTTTTTGGATTGGATCATCTGATACATTGAAAAAGATCTGACCCAAAAGAATCAAATCTGTCGAGTTAGTGCACAAATCATTCAGAGTGGGTTTGTGAACTGGATCAACGATTCAAAATATCTGACTCAAAAGAATCAAATCAGCTTGGTTAGCAAACATTCTAAACTGGATCAAATGATTCATTGAAAATATCTGACTCAAAAGAAACGAATCAGTCAAATTATTAAAAGAAATTCATTCAGACTGGTTTTGTTAACTGGATCAAATGATTCATTCAAGGAATCTGACCTGAAAGAAACAAAACAGTCCAATTAGTGAACAAATAATTCAGACCGGTTTTGTGAATTTGATCAACTGAATCATTGAAAACCACTGACAGACTGAATCACTTGAATCACTGATTTGAAAGGAACAAATCGATCCAATTATTAAACGAATCATTCAGACTGGTTTGAGAACTGGACAAACTGATTCATTTAAAAGATCCGACTCAAAAGAACAACTCTACATTGGTGTGAACCACTTTTACGATACTTTTAAACTTATTTCATTCACTTTTATTGTATTGACGTGGTTGGCTATGAAAATGTACAAACATTCACCTTTTTTGTTCTACTGAAGCAAGTCATTCAGGTTTATATGTTAATCATGAAAAATGCAAATGCACGCATTTTTAATGGTGCTCTCAGACTTTTGGACCCCACTGTACGTGGCTAGACCCCATCTTGGCTGCATGCTGGTTTTTATAAGGACTCTGTCCACTTGGGGTCCCACTGACCATTCGCAGACTGTGACCAGTAGAGGAAATGCAGGAAGGACCATTTTTCCTTTTTTTCGCTACAGAGGCTCAGTCTCGCTCACCATTTCATGTGTGTTTTTGAGCTAACAACGTTTTATCACAGCACAACAGGCCCCTAATCCTCCTGTACAACAAACAGGCTTTCTGAAGCGGACACATGCAAGAACTACTAATCAAAATGCAGCAGACTACACCGCCGCCACGCTCACACACTCGTGGCTAACATCACAACCCACGTCCACACGCTTTCACATACTAATGAGAATATACTGTACTCTGACCTCACACTGCCACACGAACAGACTGCATAAGCAATGGAGTCTGAAAGTATGATCATCATACTATCATAATTCATTACTGCACTGACGTTTACTGCAATCATCTGCATATCTTCGCATGTTTTTCAAACCACCTTTGAAACGCAGCAATATCTGTTTCTCCTTACACGTTTCATTATCCCGAGGAAGATGCGCGCTGCTGTTTCACATCTATCTCTTGCTC